AAGTTTAACAATATTAAAATATTGAGATAAACATTTGATATATTTTTATAAAATGGAAAGACAGTCAGCTCGCTATTTTCCATGCAAATTTTAAAAAATGTACCATTTTTGACTGGAAAAGTACAATCCAAGAAGGATCCTAATTTCACCTAGAATGCCCTGCAAAGGTCTAATATCCGATATGAACTTGTACTTTATAATTAAATAAATGCCAAGTAAATCATTGAAAGAAATGTCAATCCCATCACTGGCAGCTGCTTTCCCTCCTGAAGGGGAGGGAACAGTAGGAGTAGGGCAGCAAGTAAGCCCTACAGCAGTCAGAAAGTCACTAGTGGGAAAACAACAAAGGCCTTTCCATGCAACTAGCACAGATGTGCCCAGAGCCGAACTGTCAGAATCAGTTAAGATGACAGCTACTCACAGTTGATTATTTCCTTCTCACAGGTCACTGGGTGACAAGCTGGGTCACCATGCTTTGTTGGCTGCTACAGTTCTCCCTCAACAACATCTATTCAATTTAAATAAAGGTAAGTTGCTCAATTTAATATAATAATGCAAACAACTGCATCCTCACATTGTCCGGGGGAGGGGGGGAATGAAACACAGTTTTGTAAATCTTGAATTAGTATTTCTGTGGTCCTGAGAAAGGAAGAGAAAAATGGATTTGAATTATCTAGCTCAAACAGAAAACTAAGTAATTTTGTCAAGATGCATGTAATGAAAGCTAATATGTGCCCAATTCAAAGCTTTAACCTTTGGAACATTTAGATGGCAAATAAATCATGAGGAAAACCTTGGATTTTCAATCAAAAGAATCTTTCTGTCATAAATTCCTCACAAAGTAAAATAAAGGTCAATGGGCATGTTGAAAAAAATATTAAAACACAAATATCTGTCTGCTACAGTTTGAAAAGCAAAGCAATATTGCAAAACATTTGCTTTTAGTTAAATTTAAATTTACAGAAATTTGTTTACCCACCGGGAATACCGAAAATAGTGTCCAATTTTACTAAAATCAGTGAAACAAAAAAAAGTGGATGACACTGAGGGCAACTCAATGAAATAAGAAAAATAATTTTTAAACAATAAATCTGTTAAAAAATAGTATTCATCCCCAAAGAATAGGAAAGGCTTTATTTTAAGCAGAAAAAATATCCTACAAATCTTATGCCTTGTTTCTAATATGCTTCATTTGGAGTCATCTCCTGTGCTTCTTTTAAGTAGAATCGCAACAAGTACAACAAATAACTAGACATTGAATGAATATACTTTATAGATAAAATTCAGTGGGCATAATGCTATTTCTATTGAATCTTCTTGGAACCTAAAAACAGTTCTTGAAGATCAAGAAACTTTCTGAAATATTGAATGATTTGGCATGAAACATCTCTGAAAAGTTTTCTGCTGTTTATCTCCTCACATTAGAACCCCCCCCCTTTCAGAAACTACCCAGATTGTGCCTTTTATTGACAGAAGGGGCTGAAATAGAAAGGCGTGGGAAATGCCTGTTGCTCAAGAACAGTAGCATACTGTATAAATTCACTTTGATTGAAGACAAAATGCTGACAGAGTCATGAAAAAATGTGTTCCATCCCTTAAGTCCTTCTTTATGGCAGAGTCCTTACTAGTGTCAAGTTAGAATAATAAGAAAACAATTATTTTGCCTCCCATTCGCTTAGAAAAAAGAACCAACAGAACATTTTCATATTTAGTATTACAGATCTTCACTTTTTATCATTGCCATTACAGAAGAAATAATACGGCAAGAGAATATTTTCCTTTACCATACTAATTCATTTTGGATCTTATTTTTCATTAATTATATTACTCCAAGATTTCAAAAAAATTTTTAGAGTGAATCATATTATCAATCTGGGTTATATTAAAATATAGAAAAATAATATAGGATGCATCTTCTGCAACAACAGTCCCCAACCTTTGCAGCTTGGCAGCCCGGCTGGGAGGGGAACTAAGTTGTGTGAGTGCTGGGCCATCGCACATGCATGTGCGCACACAGCCCTTGCATGAGTGGTAGGCCAGCCGTTCGACTTGTGCAAGTGCCTGCCAGCCCACTGGTCATGCAAGTTGAGCTGTGCACATGCATGCATTCTCCCTGGGCAGTCACTCATACTGCCCAATTCCGAATAGGCCACAGCCCAGTAGTGGGCCACGGTCCAGGAATTGGGGACCCTTGTTCTACAAAACTTAGTGAATCCGCTGATTCTTTAAATGAAAAATTTAAGATGTTACAGAATATTGCTTGGAGTTAATGAATCAGAGGTGGCTCCTGGGATAATAAGAGTTCCTTCTTCTATTAAGCATCACTTACCTCTGCAATTTTTAATTTGTTAGCACTGGCTGGATATCAGCCCCGGATTAAAGCCAAAAATGCTCTAAAATTTACTCTCAAAATCTGGTTCTAATCAGAATTCTAAATACAAGTTGCAATGTTATTATCTTCTATTGGGCCAAAGAGAGTTGGAAGTCAATGGCTTTTTTTCTTTTTCCTTTCCTACCCCACATTTTCTCTTTTTCCCCCTTTTTTTCCCCTACTTTTCCATTACTTTTTATTTTCCTTTGCATCTTAAAAAAAACAATTCTAAATACAGGTCCAGAACATCCCAGAACTGTTTTAATCACAGCTGGCCTGAGTCATATATAATACTGATCTGGGAAACGGGGTCAGACGTTCATAACTCCACAGATTGTTTTCTTCAACTATCATTAATGTGCATATAAACTGTTGTGGAAGGATAAAGAACAGTTATTTTGACTGAACTGAAGGAAATTACCATTTGTGACTTTGCCCCTTATTTTGGATATAATATATAGAAGAGGGAAAAGCTGAGATAATGCACAATGTGATAGTACTTCGTGTTTAAAAAAATAAGAGTTGGGCACTGGATGACACTTCAATTAAAGAGGATCCCACAACCTGCATGCACAATGTTAAGAAAAGACAGTGATGATGTACCAAGATTGCTGTATTTGTTCGCTTACAGCAATTGTTTCTCTTTTTATCTAATGTTCTATTTCTGTTTTCTTTTAATTGATGAAGCCACTTACAATCACTTTGATGTTGGGCAGTCTAGAAATCTGATGAATAAACAAATAAATATTTCAAGTATTACGGTGATTTGCCTTTTGTTACTCTCCAACTCAGTATCTAATTATAGGAGAGGTGCAATTTGTCCAGGAGAAAAGGGTGAGAAGAATAGATCAAACTCTACCTATCAAGGTTTTTCCTAGAACTGAAGACTATCTAACTCCAGAATCATTGAAGAACATGTAACACTGTATAGCTTGTGCCTGCCTTTAAGACTGAAATTTGTCATGAAATTTGGCATACAATTGGCCCATTAAAATTTGCATTATTAAATCTAAATTTATTTATATATTTTTTATTTATTAAAAGCATTTATATGCCTACCTATCCCACAAAGCAATTCTAGGTGGCTCACAACAACCAATAAAAAGATAAATAAAACAAATCAAAGAGGAATAAAACCAGGCACTACAGCAAGCAAACTATTAGTCTCATGACTTAGCCGCATCTTAGGCCAGTGCTTGGGGGAACAGCCAGGTCTTCATGCCCTTCTGAATGGCTAAAAGGATAGAGGCTTCGGATGGGAAGCTATTCCAAAGGGTGGGGGGGTGGCTGAAGCAAAGGCAGTCCCACAAATAATCTGGCTCTCTGTCATGTAGGATTTTAAAGGTGATAACCACTCCTTGAACTGCATGTAGAAAGTGGAAAACTGTGCAGCTCACAGAACAATGACGTAACTTGGGCAAACTGTGAGCAGCAGAATTGCCCATGCCGCGGCATTCTGGCCCAGCTGCAGCTTCTGACAGTCTTCAAGAGCAGCCCTATGTGATATAATTGCAATATAATGTAATATAATTGCAATAATCCAGCCATAAGTGTCATATTGTAAGCTACAGGACACTATTCCAGAAGTCATGCTCAAAAACTGATGGATAGCTGAAAAGAAAATGCAATAGAATAGAACAGAACAGAACAGAACAGAACAGAACAGAACAGAATAGAATAGAATAGAATAGAATAAACAGAGTTGGAAGGGACCTTGGAGGTCTTCTAGTCCAACCTCCTGCTCAGGCAGGAAACCCTATACCATTTCAGACAAATGGTTATCCAATCTCTTTTTTAAAACTTCATGTTGGAGCATTCACAGATCCTCTCTGAGAACTGAGATAGCAGTACAGATTTTTGTATACATATCTATTATAAAATTCTTCACTTGAGTCTTGAACTCTTTAAAACTGATATTAAGAAAGTTAAGAAAAATATACATATAATGTAATGCTGGGTTTATTTCAGCAAAGTTCGTATTTATGTAATGTAAAACTAACAGCCCTTAAATAGATTCCATAAGTTTATTATGAAAACTGTAAGAAAGGCACATTTAAAGAATGAATAGAATGGAAGCATTTAATATTACTTTACATAGTTAAAATGAGAATTGAAAGATACAAATGTTTTTGCTTGTTAATTGCAAGTTTTTTATTTTACCTTTTAATGCAGTAATTTCATTGCAAATCTGAATTAAATGCATAAATGCTATCCTCTTACAATGTTCAATATAACCTCCATTTAAAACATCCAGGAAATTTACAACAATTTATTATATGAATCTAGAAAACTGTTATTTCATATAGGTAAAATTAATAAATGATAATTAAATACCATAAATTATTTACTTCATGGAGTTATGGTACAATTCATGCATAATACGTAATAATACTTTGTCCTCGGTGATAAGTGTAGACATCAATCTTTTTTTTAAAAAAAAAAAAAACCTGCATAAATGTCACCTCCTTCCTCCTCCTTTCATTAGATTTGGTTAAAACTCCATTTCTCTTTGCAAGCCAGAGGGCTTTTGAGATATTTCACTAAGATCCAGGAAATCAATCTTACATAAAACTGAAGGAAAACATCTAATGTCATTGAACAATAAATATCAACTCTGTCACTAGCTTACCTTTGAGCTGAGGCCTTAGGATGTTTCTCTTCCAGTTTCCTCACCAATGCTACTGTAAGCTGGCAATTCTCGCCTGAGCTAACTTTAGGCATTAAATGGGCGTCCAAAGGTCTGGAAAGTTGTTTCTCCTTGCTGTTGCGGTCATTATTTTCCAAAACCTGTGGAATTAACATATAATGAATCATAATGCTTATGTTGAATAAAACTCTTTCAGCAATCATAGAATTTCAATATAAACCATGGGGAAAAGACATTTTTTTAATAAAAAATAAATTAAAAAGTAGGATATTTCTATACTGAGTATTCTCTTTTGTATTGTTGCTCTCTTTTCTACACCCCTATATGTTAAATTATAATATCTTCCTTCAAATTATTTTCCTCTGAAAAAAGCCAATTGCTCTGACCTCCCTCAGGTTCTGGTGTGGAACAGGGATGTCTTCTGAGTTGTCGTCTGTCCTTTGATGAAATACGGAGTGGATCTCATGTGTGGAGCATTTGATCTGGAGCGCCTCTTTTACATTTAATTCTTCTAAGTAAGTTAGGACAAATTCAGGATAAGCCTATAGAGAGGAATAAAAGCAGAGTCATTGCACAAGTCTGCAATTCGTAAACAAACAACCAGCGATGTGCTAGTAAATGTATAATTTATTGACACGGATACTCTCTGTGGAACCACCAAACAGCTGATCAATATGCGACATGGTACGGCTCAACTTTGCTCTCAGTTAGGCCACAAAATTCCTGAAGATTTGATTCTCATGAGCCAATAAAGCTGGCTGCAGCGCACTACCGCATATAACTGTCAAAGAAGAGATTCGTAGACACTATTTCCTAATTCTTCTTCTCATTTAAACATATGGAAATACTTTTTCAGGTAATTTTAGAGTAGACAAAATAAAATAAAAATGCAGGCTAGAAACATTAAATATAACTGAATCACGATTTGCTAAATGTCATTGGTTTAAACAGTATTACAAACATATACATGGTTTACATCTCATATTCCATTTGTAAGTTATTTTCTTCAATGTATGAAACTATCCCTGCTTTTTTGACCTAATTTATCCGTTTGCTTTCTTAATGTACAATCTGCTTCTGCCTTATCATATTTACCTAATAATTTTTATATCCTGCTTTTGTTTGTTTTTTTTCACATTTCCATCTTCCATCTTTAAATTCTTCTTTCTGACTGGTGTATCGAAAGTTAAAGTAAACTTAATTTATACTACTGAGAATTTTAAATTATTTATGTATTTATTTCAGATAGAATACTAAATTGGCACTCATACAATACTGAAAGACATATTTCATATTTGTTTCCCCTCCCCAGGGGGGGAAGCTTTACGAGATGAGGAAGATGATGAGTTAATGTCAAATTCACAATAGGCTAAAGTACAGCTGGGCAACCTCTGGTTGATGGGGTAACTAGCCTATAAGGCCTATCAGATGACCAGCCCTTCAAGCAGCACCTTTCCTCTACCTCAAACTTTCTGACAGTCCTACCCTTCCATTTCTTTAAGAAGGAACAGCTAGAAATGATTGCAACATCCCCTTGCTTTCAATTTTTTCAAAAAAAAAAAATATGTGCAGGTAGTTGGAATAAGAATTCAGAGCAAATCCATATAAAAGTAGAGTATACACTTTTAGCTGTATTCTTCTAATGTCACCTTTAGGAATGAAATGTTTTCTGCTGTAAACATTTACTACTATGCCATTTTGAACTTTTTAGCAATTCATTGACTACAGAACATATAGATTGAAAAGAGGCAGTAAATTCAAGGAAATGTAGTATTGCATTTTCTTATTTCTCTCCTTTCTTCTTCAGTGAGGTTTGGATTAGCTCATTTGAATAACATTTATCATATTTCAAGACAGCTATCCTGCATTTCAAAGAATATGTTTATTTATGAAGAATATATGTGTCCCTTTCTAATTATCTTGTTTTGTTACCAGTTGTAAAGTTATAAAATAGAGGTGTCCTATTAATACATACATATGTTCAAACCACCTTTAATCAAAAATTCTATATAAGTTCTTGTGCCTCTTTGCTGCTGGCTCAACTGGGAATAAGAGACCAGTAACAGACTGTAACCCACTAGCTTTAGAAAATAAAATGATTGTTTGGATCTTCTCCACTTGTTGGTATTCATTGAGTAAGTTTTCCACCACAGCATCAAGTTAAACACCACCATTTCTCTTGAAGCTGGCACTTGAAGATATTTTTCAGATGAGAAAAATCCAGGGGCAAGTGAAACTGATTCCCTGAAATCTAATGGTCAAGAGATGATACTTCAATTGCCAGCATCCAGAAAGAAACCATTTCAAGTGCTACTATTGTACTGAAGTACCTCCTCCAAAGAAGCCAGGTGTCATCTGTAAGATGTGAAGAACGCTAATGGGTTAGAACTTTGAGGACTGTTTGATATTTACCAGACTTCAAGAAAACTCCCGAGAAAATAACACTGGATGTTTAAACTTGCATGAGACAGTGTATCATATCTGGATGAAATTTCTTAAAGAACTTATAAGCGAAAGAAATTAAAGATATAAGAAAGAAGGAAATACGGCTTACGCTATATATGTTTTTACTTTTTATCATTACAAACCATCACAATTTACACTATGTCTATACATCAGTTCATATCTTGTTCTTTGTTCTTTAAACATCTCATTGGTCATGTATATTACATTTATATTCTTGTTCCACTTTCATTTCCTTACAAGGTAGACAGAAACGTTCTCTTATGCATGTCTATTTTCACTTCCTTGAACAAACATTAATTCTTTGCAACACCCTCTTACGTTCACTCTCACATCCATAGTTAGCATTATTATCCTCTTTATCTATGATCTTACTATTTATCAATACTGTTAACATTTTTACTTCATTTTCATCATTTTTCTTGAATATTTTTTTTTATTGAAATTTTTCAAAAATTTTACAAATAAACATCCCCCCCTCCCAAACCACCCCACCCTCCCCCCCCCCGACTTCCCAGAACTGAATATAGGATTATTTAACAAATTTTAAAAAATAACGTTTACAATTTATAAGATAATTAATAAAAATAATAAAGGTCATAATAATAATATATATAATAATATATATAATAATAATATGCATAACATAAGCTTTAAAATGAATAATATATACTAAGAAAGAGAGAAAAAAAAGGGAAAAGAAAAGAGAGAGAGAAAGAAAAAAGAAAAAAGTAGACGAAAAATAGAACATATATATAAAATAATATATATATATATATATAGTAATAATACGTAAAGAGAAAAGGAAGAAAGAAAAAAAGAAAAAACAATCATTACAAGTTATAAAAAAGCTAAATGATATTTTTCCATATCCAAATTATATTGTATGAAATTTATCCATTTTTCCCATACTGCAAAGAATTTCTCTTGAGATTGCTCCTTTAAAAAAGCCGAAATCTTTGCCATTTCTGCCAGATACGAAACTTTGTGAAACCACTCTTGCAAAGTAGGCAAGGATTCCTTCTTCCAATATTGCCCTATTAACAGCCTAGCGGCTGTAATCAAATTTAACATCAATATAACCTCCTTAGCATCACAATCAGTAACAATACCTAATAAAAATAATTGCGGAGTAAATTTTACCCTCCGTTTAAAAATTCTTTGGATATTCCACCATATCTTAATCCAAAAAGCTTTTATATGCTTACACGTCCACCAAGTATGATAATAAGTAGCATCCAAATGTCCACATCTCCAGCATTTCGGCTGCAGATTAGGGTACATAATGGACATTTTTTTTGGATCAAGGTGCCATCTATAAAACATCTTATAAAAATTCTCTCTTAAATTTTGCGCTTGTGTGAATTTAACATTTCTTATCCAAATAAGTTCCCAGGATTTTACTTGAATATTAACATGCATGGCATTCTAAATGAATGGGTTTATATATCTCTATCAAGTGAAGCATTTGTTAAGTGAGCTTTGCCCCATTTTACAACCTTTCTTGCCACAGTTGATAAGTGAATAACCAGAGTTGTTAAGTTAGTTAACATGGTTGTTAAGTGAATCTGGCTTCCCCATTGACTTTGCTTGTCATAAGGTCACAAAAGGGGATCACATGACCCCAGGACACTGCAGCCGTCATAAACATGAGTCAGTTGACGAGCATCTGAATTTTGATCACATGATCACGGGGATACTACAACAGTTGTGTGAAACATAGTCACTTTTTTCAGTGCTTGAATGGTCACTAAATGAATTGTTCTAAGCTGAGAACTACCTGTATTACACAGACTTCTTGTTCAACTCTTCCCTTTTACATTACTGATTGCTGGGTCTTGGTGAAACTATGACAGAAGTAGTAAAGAACAGTTTCCTAAGTCAGCAGCTCCCAACCTTTTCTATACCCCACACCCCCAGAATGCTTCTGATATATTCTTGCATCCCTTACAAAAGTTTGAAATAACAGCAACAAATCATGCATATACACTATAATTTTGAAAACCCAAGTTTTCGCACCCCCTGGAATATCATCTCACACTCCCGGTTGGGAATCCTGCCCTAAGTTAATGTTTCCAGAACCATGAATTCATACTAAGTCATTTAAGGCAATAAGCACCCGCTCTTCTATCAAGTTTTGTTTGATTTCTGATTTGTTCTTCGTAATTTTTGTTGAGGAAGCTTTGTCATTCTGCTTTTTTGGTAACTCGGCTGAGTTTCCAAGCTTCAGAGGGAAGATTATTTTTTTCTGTTCCTAAGTGAAGTGATGCCTATGCAAAAGTGTTTTTTTTAGTGCATGTGTATATATGAATATTACCATCTTATAACATTTCTCTATCTGCTGAGGCAGGAAATATTTAAAAAAAAATTCCAGCTTTGTTTCAGCAAGAATTACTATGTCTTTCCTTTTTCTTTCAGTTAGAGCTTAGAGTTCTCCCATTTTCTGGCATTCTGTGAACTCCAAGCTTAAATTCCTTTAATTTTTCATTCCTGTCTGCAATGGCTTGCTTGCCATGGGAGGCAAATTATTGATGTGCTTCTATGATGCACTCCACTCCTTCACTATAGTTCATGTGGTGGTATTTTTTTAAAGGAAAACACTATTCAGTGAGGTATGCAATCCTGCAATATAGTACAATTTTTAGTTTTTCCATGGAAGTAGGGTGTTTGTTCCTTTATTGGCATCATCTCCTTGGAAAGTGTTATTGCAATTGTTTCAACAGAATTACAGAAAGTCTTTAATGCATCTGTGATTACACAAACACGCACACACAAACATACCGGTGTGAAACTCAGAGGTAGGGGTTATATCACCTTACATTACTTCCTAGCTTCCCTAATGAAAATTATTTAGTTCCTCCTGTTGTGTAACATACCAGAATAGTAACTGTTGTTGGTATTATTTGACAGCAAACTACGGTATTCTTTTTCATGCTATTGTCCAGGATGCAAATGCTGAAAAAACCTTTTGAGTTGGATACTTTATTTCTTTATTCTTTAAAGATGATTTTCTTTGTTTTGTTCCTTTGTTGATCATTTCATTCCTTTGAGTTTTACCTGCAGTTTGTCCTGTCAGGCTTAATCCTAGCCAGACTTGTGTTCACTTACATTATATGTTTCTTTATGTTATGGTCTGAGGAGGCTGAACTATCAGCCTCAATTAACCAGCTCAGGCTGTCTTAACAAATAGCAGGAGCAGGTAGGAGAGAATTCAAGTGACAAGGGGTGGGAACCTGACAGGACTCCCAGCCCCAGGACATGTTGGCAGTGTCAGAGAGCCAAGCAAAGGCAAATTAGCTCAGCTCCTTGAGAATCAAAGATGTCCATGCTTAACGGAACCACATCTGCATCATTTAAGAACTGCCACTAGCAATGGCCTCTCTGTTGGAAACAGCTCACTAAGCTCAGAGCTGTGCTCCTGTGTTTTTGTTTCTTGCTCTGCTCCTTGACTCTGCTCTTTGATCCACACTGGCTGACTAACTTCTTTGGTGTGTGACTGAGAGGGAATGAAGTTGGAGTTGCTATCTGCAGTTGGGAAAAATAGCTGCAGCCAGGCAGAAATGGTTCCCATCCCCATTTCCCTCATATATTAATTCAGTCACTCGCTGTTTTATTCACAAGCATCCATTCCAGCATTCCAGCTGCCTGTAATAATTGAGTCATGCTGACATTTTCAAGGACGGGGCCACATCCAGATACAGACTTATCCCATCTAGGCCCTTAGCTTAGATAAGCAGAATGGGTAGCAGTAGGAGGGGGGGAAAATGAAAATATATGAAGATGGAGAAGAGGAGATAAAGTCTGGAATTTGGCAACTATTACAAGCAGGCATTAGTACTACCAATCTATGGTAATCTTCAGGACCACAAGCTACGGTGAACAGTATTTCCTGGTGGGAGTCCTGCTTGGATTTTTGCTAAGAGCTTGGTAGCAACTAGAAGAGGAATACTCATACTAAGAGAGTACAACTCAACTAGTATAAGATCTTTGGAAGGAGGTGAAGGCTATATGCCACTTTACAGATTTATAGACTTTTGCTTGAAGTAAGTATTCAAGGACTGAGTATTAAAGGCACATTTACATGGCAACATCACTTTGAAAGTCCTAGGATGAAGAGCAACAATCTGTTATTGGGGAAGATGTCTGCTGAAATAAAGCATTCTGTACAGATTTGCTATGCTTCCGTGTGTCCAGTCATTGGAAAGCAAAGAACCCTCAGAGTGATTCCTGGATTGTTTATACTATCTTTCTGTCACTGCAGTTCCCTTTTTATGAACCTCTGCTGCATTTGTGTTATATGGCTTGACTGTGAATTGAACTCTAAATTGCCTGTGCTGCACTCAGCTTTCAAACCAAGACCTTGCTTCCCTGTTACTTTTCAAAGCTGGGGTGCACCTGCACAGATGGTTCTCTGCCTGTCTTTGTACTTTATTGCAGCACTATCTGTCAATAAACCACTTCTAAATTGAGCTTATATTCCTGATTTTTTTCTGTTGTCATTTAGTTTTTTATTTGATTATTTGGGTTTCTTCTTTTATCATAGATTTAAATTATTTTTTTAAAAAAATGCATAATTATCTTAATACTCATTTTAAGTTCTCTCAATATTATTGTTGATTGGAACATAACATGTAACTATCACCAGTCTATGAATTCCTACTTTCATATGTATCTAGAACAACACAGATGACTCCAATTCAGACAGTCTGACATAGATTTTAGCCCTTTTGCTCCTAATTAAACTTTCCCATTTACTTCCGTGCACATATTGATCAAACCACTTGGCAAGACCAGAACACCTTAGTTAAGATTTATACCCCTACATTCCAGGTTAGAAGTCTCCCATTCACACTTCTCTCATATGCAAGCACATAAGGGATAGGATATGCATTAGCAGTATCACAAAGCATGTTTCATCAATTGCCTCCCTTGCTCCTGCTGTGAATGCCTATAAATAAAATACTAGAAAATTTAAAAATTTAGAATTCCTGGGCCTGTTCTCTAGATCAGTAGCAATAACCCTGAGGACAATCAATGACTTCATGACACATTACTCAGTACAAATAAAGCCAATTAAAGCACTTTACAAGTGCTAAAGTCTGCTCAGAGGTTTTCGATCGCATGATCCCACAAATTGCCCCCTGAGTCACCCCAAATCTCTTGTGTGGGTTATACAATACACAGGAAAGTTTTGAGATATGAGATGGGTTTTTAATGGAGAGTATAGTCTTATAATCACTGACTAGGAATTCCTGTGAATTAGGGAAATCATCTTCACTGAGAAGAATAGAAAACCAAAGAAAACAAATAAATGCCTAGGCTACAAAAGTTCTGCAAGAGAAGTTAAAACAGGCAAGATGGTACTTATAGTATCATGATCAAACCCTGCCCCCCCCCCCGTGTGTGTGTACATCTATTTGTTCATGATCCTATAAGCACCATCTTGCCTTTTTTAAAGTTCTCCTGCAGAACCTTTCTAACCTAGGCATTTATTGGCAACACATACTGTCATTGAAAAACATGGATCCCTTCAAGATTAGACTATGGTTTAGAAGAGGCTGTTTGTTCAGTAAAGATTAACTTTTTTTTTTAACACCGGAGTTCCCTTTTCTTTTTCTTCCCCTTGCCACAACTCCATTGAATTTTGTCCCTGCTTTTCTCTTTCCAGTGAAATACTGGTAATTCATTCTCCTCATCACTTCTCCAATCTGATTTTTCCCTTTTTTTCCCTGTCTATTGGGAAAAAGGAGAAGGATATTTGTGCATATGTACTTACATGTTTCTTTGTGTTCAGTATACTTACACAGAGTATTTTATGTTATACGCAATTAGTTCTAATTGGAAATTATTATTTATATTATGGGATGGCCCTATTTTTTACAGTTTAGCTTCCAGCAAACACAAACACACAAACACAATACTTGTACAGAGTTTCAGTCCATTGTAAGAACAATTTTTGGAATGGAACGTGTCCTATTCCTAGTTACACATATAACATCCTCTCTTCTCCTTCAGAACAGCAAATACAACCTTAATGCTTCTCCATCAACGGTTCTGAAAGGTGAACCCTGATGAGATCTCCTTTCAAGATTGTATTTGTCTTTGCACAGAGGTTATACTCAATTCTACACCGGATGTTTTGTTGAGTTTTCCATTATACCATAGAAGAAATAATATTCCTTCTCCTTGTTAACCAGGTTGCTGTTTTGTTAGTTGCAAAATTTTGTTTAATCATGACAACTATAAGGAAAGTCTGGGAATAAATAGGATTTGATAGATCACTTTCATGTTCAAAAACTATTAGCTATAATTTTAATATTATGCTTTATTCATACATTGTGTTGCATTGTATACCATACTTTGGTCTATGTCTGTACATAAATACATATATAAGACACAGACACACACACACACACACACACACACACACACACACACACACATTAGGTTACAGATAATCTCCAAATTTCAGCTGGAGTTAAGAAATGGGAAGTTGGATATTGCCCATGATTTTTTTTCCTTTTTCTTTCTCGTATCTTACAATAAGCTTATAAAATTATAAATAGTTTGATTAAGAATACATTTTTTTCATAAAGTTCAAATTACATAATTTTAGATACAATCAGATTTGGAAAATTAAATACATACCTTAAGCAGATTTTAAAAACACAATAAAATCCACTACTGGCAAAAATTATCATTAAAGTGAAAATATCAAACTTCAGAAGTTTATGACGAATATTTTAATAAAATACTTTTATGATATTCTTAGAAGCCAAGTAGAGAACAAAATGATGCAAAAGTAAAAATAACATTTCAATTATTCAAGAAACAGACTTTCAATAATGCCTTATATATACATTAATGGATTCCAGGCAAGAATAAATAGCTAATATTAATATAGCATTTAAATATATACACACCTTAGAATGGATAGAACCATCATTTCCAAATTCCCAGTACTGACATATATTGTTTTTGTCTCTGAAAGAAAAATGCTTCTTAAGTTAAGAAATCTCTAAACCACAAAGATAATCTATTTGTAGCACAATTCACATCATATGCCCTAAATTTGGTTTATTTAGAAAATAGATAGATGTGCTTGTAGTGTTCCAATTAGTGAACTATATTCTAAATGAGAAGGAAAGACATTATAAAGCTGTCTGGATGGCACTGAACAAATTAATTCTATTCATGCAAATTTATTATGAAAAATAGAAAGAAACTATTACTCCATCTTGAACTCCCTGGAGGAAATATGAGATGTAAATGAAATAAAAGCATATAAATGAACCATGACTGAACTGTAGACTATTCACTAAGATACCTACTTCCCTAACAGGCATATTTCAGATTCATTATGAAGATTGTCAGTCCTTATTCTCTTCTGTGCAGAAAGGAAACAAATCTATAACAAACTGTTTTCCAATTATTTCAGGTAGAACTTTCAAAGATGGTTAAAATATTTCAAGAAACTAACATCTAATAAGGGTATATAATTTAGAGGCTATTTAAATATAATTTAGATCACATATATTTTCCACTGCATTATAACATCTGTAAGCAGGTCATCTGACAACATTCCATTTCATCTCAATAATTGTATCTTTAGAATATATTTTATCAGTACCTTTTCTGCAGGGTTAACTTATAGCCCTCAAGAGGTATGCCATCCTGCATCATAGCTCTGACTGGATGACCAACAGACAGACTGCCTTGTGCCATAGCTCGACTTACAATCTTCCCAGCCTTTCAATGAATGGGGGAAAAGGGGTATGAATAAGTGAAAAGAACCAGAAAATTCAACAATGTGTTACAAATAGAGAGGTCATTATGCCTGGATAACTCGGGATATTAACAGTTGGAAAAACTGAAACACTATCCACAACTTAGCAGTCAATGAGCCTTGCTCAGAATCAGTGATCTTCTGTACAACAAGGGTGGCATTTTACAGTTCAGTGCAAAATAGAACAGACCCTTGATATCTTCATTTGTCTTTTTCCTCTGCATATTTCACAGTGCAGTGATTTAGGGTCCATAACGTGTCACTTGCCATACTTATAACTACTGAGTTTACTTGAAATATATATGCACGGGGGAAAAAGTTCAGTGAACTGCAAAGACTGCAACGCATCTATAGTCATTGAGTCAATTTAAAATTTTATCTCAAATCTAAAAGAATGTTGGTTAAACATCTATAACCACATCTGTTTAAATAAATAACAGCAGTAGTTCTGCAATAAGACAACTATTGTAAGTGCAATCACTTTATTGATTTTTTTTTCCCTTTAGGAATTGAGGCTGCAATCCTAAATCGAGATTGGGCAGCAAGTTCCACCAATATCAGTAGGATTTGCCCCGAGGTAAAAATAATTAATTTAGTATTCAGTATCAGCTATAATATTTGTTACAAGGGGATATGGGCTACTAAAATTATATAGGAAGATTATCTGGATTCTTCTCACAATTTATTCCTAGTGTTGCCTTCATACAGAAAAGCAGTAACTTCTGTCTCATCTTCTGCTGTTAATAACTCAATTTTCTATTATGATGTACATTCTTTGATCAAAGATACACAGGTTTATGCTTAAGGAACTTTTCCTTGAAGTATTTTGCAATGATGTAGAGCAGGGGTGTCAAACTGCCAGCCCGCAGGCTGGTTGCATCATGTGAAGGCCGTGCCCACCCCAGCTCTGGCAATGTGAAAAAAGTCACGATACATCGTGCCACGTCATGTGATATGGCGAATTTGACACCCATGTTGTAGGATAATGCTGGCATTCAATGTCATCATTTTACCCAGCAATTACTCATCTTTACTATTACATAAACTTGGTGTAACCTGTAAGGAAGCATTTTTGTATCACTAAAATTAAGATTTCTGTTAAAATTCTGCCTATACTAGTAGGTGAATGGAGCCAATTTATAATCAATGACAGCTACATGCTTATGCAGGATACTGCCAAGACAAGATTACCTTGGACTTCCGGAAGCGGCATCCACACAGAGAACCAGTTGTTCATATATTTGAATCCCACCACTGTACAGAACATAATTATATTATTTGTGACATCCTGATGCATTAGATGTCCATTATCTTCCACAGACACTCATGTATAACAAACATTTGAATTAGGAACACATTATTAAATGTTTTTCAGGAGTACCTTTGTGATGAGCCATACATTTGAAAGAGGCCAATGTTCTGTGTCTATTGCATTTTGACAGTAATTTCTTCTGGCAGTGCCTTTCCTCATATTTTCTATGGTAACTGACATGAGGAGAACCATCTGGGGATCAGTCTGCATGCCGTAAGAGAATTTGATGTTAAATTTTTTACTTGATAGCAGTAAAGGTAACAATAGATCAGATTCAACTTATTTATTAATTACAATGAGGTATTATCCACAACAATCTAAATAAAGCATTTTTATACTGTATGTATGGTTTTAAAAAATGCTGTCACATTGTTAATTTTTAGCAGTTTAAATTCTACATACTTCTGTTAAATAATTCACAGTTTTTTATATTTGGCTGCTCAAAGGTAAATTCCCCTATAATTTGCGGGATTATTCCTAGATTAAAGCCTAAAAATGTGCATAGAATTAAGTCTACCCACTTAAATATGACTGGAAAATCAGTCAAATCAGGTGATGTTACAATAGTAAAATCACTGAGCTACATTACAGGTTCATAACTGGGGTAATGGAGAGGCTATTCAAAGATCTTCTGACTGCTTTGAAAGTCATGTATGAAAGCTAAATTTTATTTTCAGAGCTAGCAATCATTTCGCAGAGGCATATTCAAAGTATCAAAGACACACACTATGGGAAAAGAATGCTCAATTTGATATTACCTGTTAGCCAGCTGCAATAATATTGAGACAAGAAACCCCATAGTTCTTATACAATGGGAACTAATCCCCAACAAAAGGATGAGGGGCTTAAAGCAACACATGTATTTGCCCTCTCCATTTTATGTTGCTATCAGTGGCAACGCAACTGTGTGGAAGATTGTTATAGTTGGAATTAGTGAGGGATAGTATTATGATGTGCATAACTCCTGCTGAAAGTCCCTGTATCCTCTTAGTCACACCACTGGCTTTAATCTTATCATGTTTGATTTTGTGGTGCACTGGGGAGGAAATCTTGTTCCTTTGTATTTATTTGAGGTTGCTACCCAGCACTAATACCATGCTGTGTTTCAAGAGATACAATGCTGGATATTACCTGGAAAAAAACCTGCATAAGAAAGCAACATCATATCCTTCTAACCCAGCTTCAGATGATATTATGGTTCCCAGGAGTGGTGAAGCAAGGAGGTAACAGGTAGTATAAATAATTATATTAAGTATCACTTCTTTGGATGCATAAGGCCTTCCATCTTGTGTTTAAATGTATTCGACCATATTGCACAGTAGAGGAAAGTGTTATGTCATAAGTGAAATGGTTCATCTGATTTAGTAATCAGTAATTAACATCCTTTGATTATTCAGTTAAATGTTTATGTAGCCGGTATCTGGCAATAGGTGTTTATGTCTGGAACTTTTACTCATATATATTTGGATTACAAAAAGAAAATAGAAAAAACAACAACAATCACTTACAATAATAATACTCCTATATTGTGTAAAATCTCAACTGCTATTTGAAAAAAAAATATTCAGCATGAGATTTCCAAGATGTTAATATGACAAACGAATGGAATTGATTCTGAATTTCTCAGATTCCACAGAAATATAGCTAAAATGTGATATCAAATATCTGAAGTAGTTGTACTATCTCATTTGAATAATTAATTTACCCTGTAGGAATTTGTCTGAGCCATAGCTTTGGAAAAATACAGTCTAATCCTATGCCAGAATAGATAATTTAATGATTACAGGCACCAAGATGCCCATCAGCCCTCCCTTAAAGCCACTGTGTAAAGCTTTATTTATTTAATCCATATTCTATTTTTTTTTAAAAAAAGAACTGAATTAGTTGACATGCTACAAAACAATCCTCATTTATAAAAGTGTCTCTGAACTCTGCTTAATACTTCATATACAATTTTTAAATAGCTGGAGTAGGGAAATGAAACATTAATGTTAAAGAAATCCACAAATATAAACTCTGTGCTATAAAACAAAGATTTCTTGTATTATATACACTGATTTACCAGTTTATGATTTAAAATTTAGGCCAATCACTCTTAGCCCAACTCATCTCACAGAGTGTGGTTGTGAAAAGAGGAGGAGGGAGTACTGGATATGTTCAGTGCCTTGAGTCATTTATAAAAATAACACAGGTGGGATAAATAAATGTAAATAAAAATTAAAACTTCATAAGTAACTGTATAGAAAAAATGTCAATCACCTGTAAGGATATTGCTTTCAAGACTATACTTATCAAAACAAGATGCCTATACTATAATCTATCTCAGGTCACTGATACATTGTCAAGTTTTCTCAACAGTGATAAAGAAGCAACAGGCTATAATTGCCTTTGTTGCCTCTATCCTCAGATTTATGAACATGGATTATGTATCGCACATTTTACACAGTTGGAAGGGTTTGAATGTCAATAAAGAGTGAAAAGGACCAGTCAGGTGGTGAGCATTACTATTAGGCCCGATGACAATAGTAGTGGGTAAGTACCCAGAAGATGAGACTTTTGCCTCTTTAACATATAATCCTTTTAGTGTTGTGTACATCCCAATGAGCTTTAACTTTCAAAAGTAGTAAAGAAAACCATCAACATCTGACCTTTTCCTTGAAATTATTTTTTATAAAGTCCTTGAATTATGAAATTAGTTCTCAGCAAAATGTTTACACATAAATGTGCTGATGTCACAACTATTATGCATATTTTCATTTTTAAGTAAGTATAGTAAGAAAAAATCATCTTGTTGCTTTTTTCAGTTTTCTCTTCATCAAAAAGAGAATTAGTAGTAATCAATTCTTTCGGTTCACTACAACTCTCAATTAAACTTGTACATCACCCAACTCTCAATTAAACTTGTACGTCACCCAATTCTCAATTAAACTTGTACATCACCCAACACTGGGTGGCTCACAACAATCAAACTAAGAAATTACAATAATATCAAAAGGAGAGATTAGAAATGGAAAGGTTCTGGCCAGAAAATGTCTCCAATTCCAACTTCAAAACTTTTTCCATTCTCTTCTTAAAAAGACTGAGATCACCTTCTGGGGAATCAGTTTTGTACAAGAAACAATGCCACTTAAGTTCATTTATCATGCCACCAAATTTAAGGGGTATCCCCTTGTGCATTTGAGATGCTTCATGTGGCTATGGCTTGCTTACCCTGGTGTTAATATTTAATGGAACAAGGTCTGACCTGTCCAACATTGAAAAAATCTCCATTTTTATCTTTAATTTATGTATTTATTTTTGTTTAGCTTTTTGACATCTGAGTGAATGTATCCTATCTGAAGTGCTGGGTTACAATTACTACAATTCGCATAAACTCTAGCCAGCATGGGACTGATAGACGCTGACTTATTTCTGTTGTTGGGAGGTAACTATTTACTCTTAATGTTGATGTTGCCTATCTTCATTGACAAGTTGCCCATTCCAAGCTTTTCTGAATTCGAAACCTCATCCTCAAGATGGAGAAGCTAGCCCTAAACAGGTATAATTGAAAACAGCTCTTGAAGGCCTGCAAATTTTAATTTACAGGTGAAATACTCATTGTTATTATTAATCCCAAATGCCCGTTTTTTAGTTGGTGTTGGCCTTCAGATGCTTTTGAGTTCTTCCTAAGGATGGCATATAATTATTATCATTATTTACCTTATTTTGGAAAAAAAGATTGTCTGGCTCCACAGTCTCCAAGATCTGATGTTCTGGAGCCTTAATGAATTGAAAGTTCTCTGGAAATCCATCGCAAGCTTCCCAACTAAAAATAAGAAGCCAGAAGTAACTTTTTCTTTTATAGTTGCATTAATATATCATCTCAAATGTTTAATTAGTATGATTGTTGTAGTTGAAGAAATCCAAGTCTTTACACTATAGCTGTTGTTGTTTTTTTTCTCTTCCCTCCCAGGGAAGAGGAAAAACTCTTTGCTTCTTCAATTCCTCTTTATTTAAAAATAAAAACAATAAGGAACTAGTGGTGAATATTTTTAAAAAGAGGATAACAAAAATGGAAAAATTCAGCTGTGGCACAGAGGAATCAGGAAAACTTTGAATGTTTATTTATAAGACTTATGTGGCCACTTATCTCATATAGTAATTCTAGGTAGCTCATAACAATCCATAAAAAAATGGCTAAAAACAAATTGATAGGCACTTTTCCCCAGGCATGAGATCAAACAGCTCCCAGTTCAACCCCTCTCCTTGCCCACTGCTTCACAGCCGTCTGGAAGGCTAAAAGGATAGGGATTCCTTGGGTCTCAGGTAGGAGGATATTTCAAAGGGCTTGAGCAGTCACTGAGACCCTATCAGGGATCACCAAGGTCCCATCAGGTGGCACCATTTAAAGGAGGGGACCTGGAGCATGCCCACCCTATTTAACTTAGTAAGATAGGCAGATACCCTCAAGGAGAGAGGCTCCTACAAATAACCTGGCCCTGTGCTGTGTAAGGCCTTAAAGCTGATAATCAGAACCTTGAATTGCACCTGGAATTCAAAGTTCTCATGCAGAAGTGGAATTACTTGGGTATACTGCAAGGCACCCAAAACTGTACGTGCTACTGCATTCTGATCCAGCTGCAGCTTCTATACAGTACTCAAGGGAAGTCCCATGTAGAATGCATTGCAGTAATCCAAACAGGAAGTGACTAAGGCATGGGTGACTGTGAGCAATATTCCAGCTGTCAGAGCAATTGAAAAGTAATTAAGTGGAAAGTAGAAGCCTCACCTATGAGTATGCACCATAAGGATAGGCATGCTGCTATTAATACTTCCTATTAATAGTTTATGATTGCTAGACAGAAAAGTGTTCCCTCCTAGTATTCTAAATATACTCTAGATTTCATTTCTCATACATGATGGGGAGAAACATAGTTTTATATCTATAAACACTACTGTCTGTTCCAATATTGTATGAGTATTGACTGATAGTAATCTTAAGTGATCTGTATCATTCTACTGTTTGCACAGCAATATACTTTTAATATGCATTACATATTATCACCCAGTGATAAGTGCAGTTTTGGGGTGTTCTCTCCAACCACATTCCTGCTATTATACAAGTGTGTTTTTTGTGTAACTATTCTTTAGAAGGCTACAATTAAAACTGCATGAGTCTATACAAGTCTAATCCCATGATTGATTCCTGATTTCTATATATCATGGTTGCTCTTGTCATTTGTCCCAAAGGTGCTTTTTCAAGAGACAACTGGACTTTCTTGTTTTTCTTTGAAGACATTTCGCTTCTCATCCAAGAAGCTTTTTCAGCTCTGACTGGCTGGTGGGGAATGCAAGGATATATACTCCTTGCAGACAGCTGGTCTGACCTGGATGTCTGAGAATCTTGTCATTTGTGTTTCTGGTTATTTGAAGTGTCATTAGGTTCTTTCAGTTATTTGCCATTCTTCATGTATCACATGTTGAAGGACACACGTTAATAGCAAAAAAAAAAAAAGGACAAGGTGGCTCCTAATGCATTTCATACTGTCAAAGGCATTACAAATGTATACATTATATATATGTCTATGTCTGTCTGTGTTTGTGTGTGTGTGTGTGTGTGCGCGCGCGCGCGTGCCTGCACATGTCTCTACCTAATCAGCGAATAAACAGAAATAGAAACCAGCGTCTTCCATTCTGTGACTGAGAACTATCATTGCATTTCATTCTGCTAACATCAAAGGACTTGACTACTAAGTGAACGGTAATAGGATTTCAGTTTTGAATTTATAAAACATAATTTATTACTCAATTTTACCACAAACACTGAACGAGAAAATGTCCTCATATTTAATCTGTCTATATTCTAATGGAAACTGGAGGTTTTTTGAGTTTTTCTTTGAATTCTCTGAAGATAATATTTTTTAAGGATCTATAGCAAACTGTAGTCATTTCCTTGTGATAGTTGCAACAACAATTATCCTTACAGTTAAGTCTTTCATTCCCAGTTTCCCTTTTGTGATTTTTAGTATATCAGTTCAGAACACTCAAATAAACAGAAATTGATGTACCTGTCGTATCTAGGCAGCAAATCTACACTGGGATCCAGAAGTGTTTTATAAATAACTGTGATGCCATTCTTTTTTGTTGCTATCACTTTGTCAAAGGTCAAACTCAGAACAGGATTTAAGGGAGATCTGAAAATGGAAACATCATACAAAATGGCCATTTATGGAGAGGAAATCAAACAGTTGCAAAACCAGCAGTTATAGGTAGCTAAGGGTGTGAATGTCAGAACTGAAGCTAAGAATGAATTCAGAGCAAGGTATTCAAATCTATTCAACTTTTGATTTGATGGGAAGAACCAGTAATCTCACAGATAGAACCTTGTTACTGTTCAGACACTTTTACCTTTGAAATTAATTTCACCATAGCAAGCTTATTATCTTTATTAACCTATAGATTATGGACAGCAAGGAAATTGAATTCTTCCTGAAATACCTGCTCATCTTCAAGCAGAAATAGCTGACTGAAAATTAAAACAATAACCACCTTCCAGGTGGTCATCTGCAAAAGAACAAATCCAGTTGCCAATTATTAATGTTATGCTAAGGTTATGTTGACACTGATGATTCTCTTACACTATAACTGATAAAGCTAAAATAGGAATATATCATGTGGATTATGCAAATGTTAGCAATTGGAGGTATCGAAGCAGATCCAACATAATTCCATCATACATGTTTCTTCAAATATGCTAAACAGCATGCTAATGTTTTAGAATATAAATATCAGTATGAGTAATCAAGAATTGTAACATAATGTTAAGAAATCATTTTCAGTTTGGAATGGACATCCAGAGGATATTTTTTGAAAAAGGGCTTATCCATCTCAAAGATAGTATTGTTTTGAAAGTAACTGGCCATAGCCTGTACACTGGCAAAATTGCACTCTTTTACTGAGCATTCAGTCTGTTGGGAGATGCTACTCAACATCTATAGCAACTAAAGACGCAAGAGTTAAATTTGTCTCCATATCCTGAGAAAAAAAGAATTTACACAGCATAGGGACTATTAATAGCTTACAAAATAGCAAAAGCAGTGCTAGCAGTAATAAACAAAATGACCTGTTAAATATTGTTTAGTAATTGTTTAGTAATTGTCAAGTAGTAAAAATAATACAGCACTTGTATGTAATAAATAATACAAGAGCAAAAATATTTAAAATAAAACCTTGAAAACATAGCTACTTATGAAAAAAAAGGTTCTAAAACAAGCTAAACACCCAGCAAAACCAGTTCCTTCTTCACTGAAATGGCATAAACAAATCCTATTTGCCCAACTTCCCACACACATAGAGGAGGGGCAAGAGGAACCCAACTGATTAAGGGTTGAGCTCAACTAGTTGAGTTGTTAATGTTTTTAAAAATAATGATACATACAGTAATTTAAAAAGAAACTTTGGATAATATTTTAAAAAATATTTTTCTATTTAAACAAAAACCAGAAAAGGAAAACAAATAATCTATAAAAGCACAAACTTTACATAAATATATCTGCAATACAAAATTTTAAACATTCATATTCAATGATTCTATCCCAAAGAAAAATTGTATAGATTAAAGCAATCTATCAGGAATTACTTTGTTGATTAAACTAAAAGAAATAAATATTAAGACAAAGTAAGCCTTAATTAAAGGATTTTTGCAAGATCTTTTGGTGTTGCATTACTTCTCTATCAACATATTGCCCATAATTTAAATTCCATTATCTAAAAAAAGATGTAATCTATTTTTCTGGTGTTATGTTATAATAAATCTGAAGATAATGATAAAAATGGAATGTATTTATTGTGCTTTTACAGGATCTTAGGACAAATGGATACTAATTCTAGCATTCATTATTAAAGCCTATTGTGTTCATTTTTTCAATATCCACTGAAATGTTTAAAATTAGTATTTAAATGTATAGTCTTAACTATTGTGGGCAGTGATAGAGGTGATGATGGAGTAAGGTAAAGGTTTCCCTGTCTGATCGTGACCGACACCAGGACGCGGTGCTCATCTCCATTTCTTGGCCGAGGGAGACAGTATTGTCTGAAGATATTTCTGTGGTCATGTGGCCAGCATGGCTATACGCCAAAAGTGCATGGAACACTGTTACCTTCCCACCAAAGAGCTTAGATATAATTTTGAAGTGCTTTTGAAGTGCTAGGTGGGCAGGAGTGGGGGCAAGAAATGGGAGCTCACCCCATTGTGTGGTGCTCAGGTCTTGAACACAGACTTTCAGCTTTCCATCTGACAAGCTCAGCATCGTTAATCGCTAAGCCATTGTGCCACCTTCCCTCCCCGAGAAAAGATAGTTACAAAAATATTACATCTGTGAAATAAATAAAGCATTAAAAAGAAACTCAAACTGATTCCATCTTAACTCCCTGAGGTATAAGAGACAGAGAAGGGAAAACATAGTCAGACTTTCAAGGTCTGTAGCAAAAAGGGACATTTCAGCATTCTTGTGGAGTCGGTTTCCTGACTGGGTCTCACTGAAGGGCTAATTAGTGTAACCCTGGGTTTTTCTAGTAGTCTATCATTTATTGATTAAATTTATTTGCCACCTATTTCACTCTACAAAGCAACTCTGAGTAAAAAAAATATCAATTGATTCAACAAAATTTACATAATTTTAAGGTGTGTCCACCTGTGAGTGACTTTCATATTCAAATAATGATATCTTGTTGAAATTCAACTTTGTTTTATAAAACACAAAAGAGATTTTATATTATAAGAAGTTCCAAGTTCTAGTTTCTATATTATACAGTAAGGCCATTTTAAAAGAGCCTGTTGATTTAGTATAAATGACATTACAGACATTCCTCTGAATGTAAATTGTATAAGCAAGCAACATTCTTCAAATACTGCTGTTGCCTTTGATTGGTAACATTTCATGTGTTTAAGAAGCAATAATTGCATATAACTTATTTGAAACCTAGGTGTAATTACTGCCAATATTCTGTACAGTGTAATAGTAATAGTAATAGTAGTAAAGTTGGAAGGGACCTTGGAGGTCATCTAGTCCAACCCCCTGCTCAGGCAGGAAACCCTACACCATTTCGCACAAATGGCTGTCCAGTCTCTTCTTAAAAACTTCCAGTATTGGAGCATTTACTGCTTACTGTATTCATAAATCCATATTTAAAACGTATCTGACAAATTTAGAAACCATGCAGACATTCTGGCCTCTGATCCTTCTTTTCTCTCATTATAAATATAAACTATTCAATGAATCAGAGGATAGGGGATTTAATAGAATTAGAATAATACTATTGAATGTATGGAAAAAATCAATAAAAACTTTTTTTAAAAAAAGTATATACTTTTTCCTTTCATTTTTAGGCTTATTAAAGGGAGGAATTTTGGATTAATAATCTGGGCGTATTGACATTCATAATACAAAACTTCTTCACCACATGCATCCTATTATTTATTTATTTATTTATTTATGAGACTTATATACCGTTTTAAGTGCGAGCACTCTCTAAGCGGTGTACACCAGTAAGCAATGTATATATATATATTTACATTGCCCCCAACAATCTGGGTCCTCATTTTACCTACCTATTAGCCCTCCAGGGTAAAGCAAACAGGAAACACAACTAGATGAGCTAAATCTACTGTACTGTAAATCTATATTAACAAAATCTTTGCAAGTCTAAAGGTACAGATTCCCACCACTTTTAACCATCAATTGGGAAAAGAGGCCCATCCTAAATTTCTTTCTCTGACTGTTAAGCCTGCTTCTGTTGTCTGATTGTTTCCTGCGTCTTTCTCTTTCTCTTGTCCCCCAAGGTTATCCATCCCTGCATTCCATTACATATCCGTATGTTCTACAACAGAAAGTAGTCTTTAGTCACAGATGTTGCCAGTGCTTATATCAATGTTAATAGCAAAAGTGGATTGAATGATATACCTTCCAGCTATGCACTCACCAATTCTAATCAATAGCTAGGAGGACAAAATCCTGACCATGCCAATAAAATTCTGGCCATTTAGGAACCCTAAACATTTGCAATTATATCTAAAAGAAATCCAATGCTATGCTCTCAGCTGAAGGTGTTTATGCTGACCGAACAGAATGGTAAAATTCTCTTACTCCTTGAAATCATTATATCCACTCAAAATCGTATCTGGAAAGCCTCCCAACTCTCAGCAGATCTTAAGCAATCCAGCATAGTTAAGAAAAGAAAGTCATTTTTGAAAATAGATTTACTATCATCTAAATCCTGTTTGGAGGTTTACAGTAAATTTCCAATAAGCCAGAAGTTACCTGATAAATGGGAGAGAATTACAGAACAGCTGTATTTGAATAATTGAATGTTCAGGTGTGAATACAAGTACAAAATACACATTCATGTTAGCTTTCTACAATTTCTGTTATACAGGAAGAATGTATAACAATGACTATTCATTTGAAACTATAGTTTCTGCTTCATTAGAAACCAAATTCAGAGATAAAATTGCAGGTTTTGAATAAATAAACAAAATTACTCATTCACAATCCTGCCATACTTTCAGTCTTTCTTTGTATTACATTTTACATTTCTAGCAAGCCAGATGCCGTTACTTAAGACTCCACCCCGCTTTATGGATTATCCTCACATTCAAGCCCATCCAAATGCAAATTGTCCTCAGAATACCCAACAATCTGTTCCAATGAAACCTTTTCTCATCTTTCCTTTATTTTTGTTACTGGTGTTTTCATCTGCCTAAAATCTCTATATATTTATTAAGTCTTTACTTCATCTCCTTGCAGGTGTAGTTGACTGCTTTACTTTAAAGCATTTCTTTAATTGTTTTTTAACAAACTTATGGGTCTTAAAATTATGAGTATTTTTTTAAAAAATTAAAATGTATTAAAAATATTAAAATATTAGCGCTTCTTAGAGACAGGTAATGGAAATTGTTCAATATACAGAAGCACATTGCCTGCCACTGATCTCAAATATTTGAACCTGGTGAAATAATAGTGGCAATTTGACATGCCAACCTGTACCAAAATGAAATAATGCTCTTCACTGTATAATTATTCTGCCTCATTCACAGATTTTACAAATAATCCAGATGACAATCTACCACTTGAAATCTTCTGGTTTTTCCTCAGTGATTCCATCTTTTTTACTATAGAAGAAAATCTATTAAGGAGGGAAAAATAGAATAGTGGCACAATGTTCTTTGATTGGTAGCACTAGGACTCCTCTGTCTGGAAGCAACCAATGACCCAGGAATTTGTGGGGAAAAAGAGTTCATGACTTGAGAGGAATAATAGGGATGCTGTTTCTATAAAACCAAACCCTTCAGAAGAATGATTTTGAAATGCTTTCTGCAGAGTGCTATAAAAGACTATTTTTCTTCACAAGCTTCTCATTTCCATACCATCTCTATTCCACCATCAGAGCAAGCCCCAAGCATTCACTTTTTGGTAAGGATGGAGGAAAGGAAAAGACAGAGATGTTGGAAATATGTCACAGGTTAATGGTAAAGGGAAATATGAAGTGTTGTGTCCATAAATTAGGGCAAAGGATATTTATGATGTTTTTCCTAACAAATAAAAGGAACACTCCATGTACGATTCAAAAGTTTTTATATATACATATACATTTCAGTAGTGAAAATAATTTATTATCATTGATTGTAAAATAAAACTCAAGAAGCTTTTATTATCTCCTATTGGTTCTTTCAAAACTTATATTTATTTTATTTTATTTTTATTTCCATTTCTATTGAATACAGCTTAAATGTGTTTTTATTAGTTTGAATGCTTCCTGCATTGATCAGCACTTTTCTCTTTTTGGAAACTACATCTTTTTTCCTCTTATGTCTGTGTAATTAATTATTAATAGAGCAGCAATCATAGTTAAATATTGTATTTGAGGTCAAATTATGAAGCAGCGTCAGATAAGTGCTTTCAAGTTCATTTGAATGAATAAAATCCACTACATGCTATCATTTAAACTTCAGGCATTGCCATTCAGAAAATTATTTGCCTGGAAAAAGTATTGCTGAATAGGTATACTATTCTTTAAAAGAAATAAATAATCCCATGAAAAAAAAAACAATATCTATGTCAACACAAAGATCCTGCATATACGTAACTACATATGTACAGTTTTTAAATCAAAAACTCTGTAGAAATGAAGAAACCGGCACTTTAGAAACACAGCCTGCATTTCTTATTGAATTTTTCAAATGCTAATTTCTTCAATAGGTGGCCATTTCATGAATACCACAAAAGAAAATCCCTGTCAACAATTGAAATCTATAGGCTGAAAATCAGAAACTTTTAATTTTCATAAATTTATCACAAAATTTTTATTCTGACAACTCTGGTGGCACAGACATCATTTCTCTTTCATCCTCATAATTCATTATAACAACTAAGTAATTAAGTTTGAGAATAAATGGCAGTTTCTTTTTTAGCATAGCCATTTTCAAAATAATTATGTAAGACACATTCTTTGAGAACTCCCCTCATTTTATGAGCAATCACACTCAAGATATGCAGGAAGAATCCAATCATAACATTAGCCTTGTTTCATAACAAGGCCATTATAGAAAGCAAAACAAGCCTGGCTTCTATAGAAGATAAATATAAGCCTTTTCCTCGGTATATTACAAAGAGATGTGTTCATTAATAAAATTATTACATTTAAGGTATTTAGTTACTTGGCTTTCTATTTTGAAATAAGATAAAATAGGAAGTACACTTGTAGAATATTTGTGTACCTACCATTAGATATTTAACATTTTATTTTAAATGTTATATGTATTATAGTATTTCATTTTTATTTTAGTCATAAATACAGTTCTGCAGCACTTGAGTACTAAATGGTTTGTATTCCTTCACCTGTCCTTACGTAGACTCATTGAACATAGTGGAACTTAAAATTGAGTAAAAAGGTAGCGAACTGCATATTCATTATATTAGGCACTTATATTAGGCAGCATAACATTTCTATAACTGCCCATAAAATAGTTTTTATTTACAAATATGTAAAAAGCGCTTCTAAAAAATGATGCTTTTATGAAAGCATACAGATGTGTTTTTATATTAAATGGCAAAATACATGGCAATTTATATATAAATTGTTTACATAATTTTACATAGATATAAAGTAATAATTTTATTATCATATAAGAACTATAAAAATGTTCCATAATTACAGCTGAAAAAGTATCTTATGAAAATATTTATAACACTAACAAAATAGAAAGTTTAATGAAAGCATACTGATGTGTTTTTATATTAAATGCCAATTTATACACAATCTCTAGGGTTTCCTGCCCGAGCAGGGGGTTGGACTAGATGACCTCCAAGGTCCCTTCCAACTTTACTACTATTACTAATTCTATATAATGGCACTCTATATATAAAATTAGGAAATGTATTCTGTAAGTTGTATTCTGTAACCAGCAATGTCCAAAGGATAGGAATCTGTGTTTAAATTGATTAAATATTTTTACAAAAAATATAAAGTAATCATTATGACTATAATGTAAGTGTTCCATATTTACAGTTAAAATAGTATCTTACAAATACACTCATAACACTAACATAAACAAAAAAATTTCCCTGATATCTATGCAGACTTTGTTCAATAATTTATCTCAGTCAAACCAGGCTGGGATAGGAGTAATTCTCAAATGCACTTATTGTCATCTGAGGAAATAGTAATGATTCCATGAATTACTTTATAAAAAACATACCCACATTTCTTGAAATGTTGTAAGCAAATTATTGTACAGCCTAGCTCTCTTCTATTTTTAGATTCAGTCGTCTAGACTTTACAAGTTTTACCAATTTATTTTTCTTTCTTCTCTCACCGGTGCTTAAAAGGTTAAGACTTTATTTTTGAAAACATAGAGCGATAACAGGGAATTGTGTTGTCTACAGCTTCATAAATCTTGCTTAAGTTCCTTTTCAATTACCATCCATTTCTCCTTTAAAAAGGGACCAAAGGGAAAAAAACAGAGAAGTAGAAACAGGTCAGGGCAGCCGGTGACAATGACAGGGTGATGGGCTTGGACCCCTGTGGTGTTTCCATCTGCTATCATTAAGGTGACTATTCAGACATGAAAAAATCCCTCTTGCTGTGCTGACAGGCAGACATCAAGAACGATGACAAGGCATTAAGATAGTAAGTCAGAGACAGAGATGTCATATTCCTCAAACAATACTGCCTAAAACAAAACCTCTGAAATTTTACTGGAATTTACAATAAAATAAAAAAAAAATTTTTTTTTAACTTGGAAGCTATTCAACTTCCTTTTATAGCAATTTGATCACACAAAAATTGCTGACAATCATAATGCTAAACGCCATGCTCCTACCTGTAATCTTCACCATAAGAAACCCAAATTTTTTGCTCATTCTGCAGTAAAAGAGGGTTTTTAATTTCTTGCCCAGTCTCATCAAAAAGATGCGTAGGAAAATGACTAAGGCCTGATGGTTTGAAATCTGCTGAAAGCTGGAGCCTCTGATGAATCGTGTGCCGTACCTGGCCATGGAAGATAAAGCATAAAATAAAAACATCTGTATTAAATTGTTTGTATTCTGTAACCAGCAAAGTCCAAATGATAATTAAATTCCTATAGAATGTGAAAAGAAGTGTGAAATCCCGGCAATGTTTATCTCAGTGTAAAGTAACAAAATGAGCACAGGCTTTTAACCAGCAGGGGGTGCAACAGGATTATGGTTGAGCTCTGACCTCTTTGGCACACAGACTGAAAGCAGATGTGACAGTTCTACAGAACAGTTAGCATCTACTAACAGTAACAGCTCTGGATAAAGGTTATGTTTTCCCAGTCCACATTTGGAGCTACATTTTGTTAGTGTTTTTAACTGAGCTTGTTGAGGTTTGACAAGGACTGCTTTCCCACACTCTCCTGCTAGGTGTTAGATGATCAATGTATGAACAAGAATAACGCAAGACTCATTTAACAATTTCAGGACTCTTAAGGAAATATTACTGAGACATGACAGAAACTATTCAAATCCTGCACTGCACTCCAAAGAAAATAGGAGTAAGCAAGATAATTCAATTGAACATCAAAACATAATGGTTTATTTATGATGCGGTTTACAGCTCTAATTTTAGTTGGTATAGTTGTTAAAAATTTCAGTTCTTTCTTAAAGAATTGTTGATAAAGATCCATGATGTTACTGGAGTGCCTATATACTGTGGTCAATTTGCCATTTCAAGGGATTGCAATAATAGCTCTAAACAGAGTCACTTTGTTCCACTCTCTCCTATTTGTCACTCTTCTCTGCTTACCAGGCTCTAACAGATTAGTTCACCTTCCCTTCTTCTTTGCCACCTTCTGCAACTGAGCATATCACAAAGGCCTCATATCATGACCTTATTGTGACAGTATTTACAACAGAGATGGTACCCCAGTATTACAGAAACATAAACATGACAAAAAAGAAATGCAGTAATATTACCTGTAGTTCTAACTGCATTAATGCAAAATGAAATCTTTCAGTAATCAGAAATGTCCATAGCAGTTAGGGAAATGCGATATTCAAAACAAATTAGTGACATTACTCCCATTAGCATATTCTGGGAGCTAATAGGCTATTTCTGGGTGAGGCATTATCTTTTAGCTTAATCTAACTCACAGAACTGTGGGAATTGAAAATTATTTTCAGTAATTTCATCTGTTGTATTTTATGTGTTCTGCAGATTTTTCTGTGAATTTTAAAAATAAACTGCTTATTTTGTCAGAATACAAAGACTCGTACATATCTACCGAAATTATATAGTTTTTGATATAAATGATACAAAAGCAAAACATACAAAACATTTCCCTTTCATTCTTTGACACATAAAGAATGATAATATAGCTCCAATGTAAGTTGTTTTTTTATGTAAGTATAACTTTTATACTTAATTTTCATATTCTTTTGAGGAGGAGGTTGGTGTTTTGATTTGGCATAAAAAATTCTAATGAGACCTCTTTTAATATTGGTATTTATTTCACTGGTGATTTGGATAGGAGCATAACACCCTAATCTATTCCTAGTGAAATTCATAGTGGAAAAAACATTGGATTTGGAAGAAAACAATCTATTATGTACCCTTGATTCTCTTGAAGGAACACTACACTGTATTTCAAACATAATAAATAAATAAACACACGAATTGCCATCTATTTCATTTCCTGGAAGTATGTTGGGTATCATTATCTATGGTTATATTTTTATATAAACTGCACAGGCAATGTCTTAGTGTAATTATAATTCTCCTGCTTTGCACTTCAAGTAGCATATCAATAAAGGAAACATTGGTCGAAAGTATTATTGGGATTTCTTGATTCTAATATCATTTTAGACACTAATACTCTGATCTCAGACCAATCCCTCTAATCTAGGGGTGTCAAACTGCCAGCCCGCGGACTGGACGCATCATACGGAAGCTGCACCCATCCCATTGCCGGCAATGGCAAAACAGTCCCGATACGTCGCACAACGTCATGTGACGTCGTGAGTTTGACATGTCTGCTCTAATCTATCTGCTGTTTAATGAAGTATTTATTTACATTAATTTGATTAAATTCTAATATGTTTAGGTGGCTTTCTCTAAATAAAACTAACACCAGTTAAAACTATTAAACGCCGTTAATTAAAAAACCAACTACAACCAACCTACTGCTATCATTAAGAACATCGTACCCAATGTGTCCTAAAGAGGTCTTTCTCCACCATTTTTCCAAAAGACATAAAGGGGTTTATCTGACCACAGGGTAATGAGTGTGAAATGGTGTGAAAACCTGAATTGTGCATATCAATCATAGACTTCAATTATTATGGGATTCAATAAAAACACTTGCAAATGAAATAGATTCTATCAGTGAAACAAAAAAGAGTTAATCCTCCATCAAGTACAGCTCCATGTATGTCCACTAAGTTTGTTTTGAGGAGAGTACAGGTGAAGGAGTAGGAAGAGAGAAAATTCCCACAGTACAACCAGGTTTATTTGCAAGAATTACTCACTTAAAAGAAAAAACAGCCTGTTATCTTCCTAACAAGCATTTGAAATAAATGGACTCTCATAAGGTCACCCAGTGAAAGCAGTGATTTGAATTTTAAGTTTGTATATATAAATTAAACTATAGCATTCTATTATACAATGAATAAATTAAAAATATTGATGTTATGATAGCTAAGTAGTGCCTGAATAGGATCAAGCTATCACTGTATGAGGACATTCCTTCAAAGCAAAGAACCATCTAGAGAATACGAATAATGATAGACATGAGAATGGAAATGTGGACATTTAGAGAATATACCCTACAGAGTACAGAAGTAGAAGATATTTCCTAAACCCAGTATAGTTCTTTCTAACTATGTTAGATTTATTTAGTTAGCTATTTAAAATGTATATGCAATTCAGTCCAATATTATGGCTTTACATACTTTCCAAACAGAAGCACTTAAAATTCAATCTAACAATCAAAACTCCAATAGCATAAAAATTCTAAACCAAAAAGATTTTAGTAAAAAGATATATTTTAAGTCCACTCTAGATGGACCTAAAGAGTCCTTGGAAGCACTGTAAGTCAAGGAGATAAGGAATCTAGTAGATAAGATATGAGATGAACAAATACAAGAATTTGATACATTTTTTTCAGCAATAGGAAATGAAACTGACTCAGACAGATGTTATTAGATGGTAGGTTGGATACCTCAGAGATGGCATTGCCCCAAATGGCCTTAAGCCCAACACAAATTCAAATGATTTTATCTACAAAGAACTGCACAAGCTGCTCACAATGGAGGCAAGATGTTTGCAGTATATTGTGTGTAGTTCAAATAATATAAGTTATTAAATTGATATTGGTGAGCCGGTATAACCAAATGCAGAGAACATAAGAATTTGAATCAGGTAAGATACTTATACAGAAGATAACTGTAAGAATAAGGATACAGTTGGATAGTATAAAATAAATGATACATTAAAAATTGCTTATAGATATCTTACCTTCTCCAGTATAACATCAGGCTGATCTCCATAATTGCTTTCCATTTCTTTTCTACTGATATAAACAAGTGTCTCTCCAGTGTCTTTGCCATTATTATATACCTTTGTAGAGAAACAGTTTTCATATAAAAATAATATATATTCAATATTCAAAAATCATGGCACATTACAGTATTTAGAATTACCATGAAAAATCACGCCATCAGCAGTCTTTCTCTACTGATTTTATTAGACATATGGTACATGAAATGCTCACCATACATATAGAGACTACTTTAAAATCATGCTGTATTATTACTAGCTTATAGCTGTATTTGTTTTTTCCCAAGGAGCTGTTATTATTATTTCCAATATTGGTATGATACAGAAATGTTTTTCTGAAATTCTGGAACCATAGATCTAAAATTGCTAACATTGTCCCCAATAAGTATGAATAATTTTCACTATATCAGTAATTTATTAAATTTATTCTGAAGAAAAAACAGTACTGGAATTGTTTTTGTTGTATTTGTTTAAATATCTGTAAGCCACCTTTGGGGCACAAGTCCATACATGTAGTATACAACCATATAATTATTGGTTAAACATTGACAATAATTTTTATCTCAATACTGACATGTACAATATAACAGTTATTATTATTTATCATATGGCACATTCACATCACATTTCAATAAAAAAAATACAGAGATAAAAATACAAAATATGAAATATAAAATATTATAAATGCATGGCTAACAATATAGCAATGTTTTGTTGTATCACTACAGCAGTGTTTCCCAAACTTGACAATTTTAAGGCATGTGGACTTCAGCTCCCAGAATTCCACAGCCAGCGTTGCCTTAAAAGTCCTCATGCCTTAAAATTGTCAAGTTTGGGAAACACTGCACTACAGGAAGGCTCTCCTGCACACTATTTCTTTCATTTATCAGCTCTGTGAAATAACAACTCCAAAGACACTTCGCCTATTATTTATTTTATATATCAACTTATTTATTTATACTCTTCTTTTTCTGGAAATACTATAAATCCAGAGCAGGCACACTGGAAGGTGGAAACAAAAAATATGGGCAAATATAAGAAAAAATATAACATTCATGAACTGTGATTTTGATTGTGATTATCAGGTTATTTGTCTATGGTTCTAGAATTATGGTTAGTGATTGCTTATTTATTTTATTGTAATATCATTGTAGAAGTTGGTTTACTGTGAGCATTTTACTGTTATTTTTTATCATGGATGTTTTAACTGTTAATTTTAAGTAACCTGTCATGAGTTGATAATGATTAGGCTTTGTACAGATTTAATAAATTAATAAATAAAATCTGATTAGCATTACAGAATATTTACACTTTGGAACCACACTTTCATTAAATGTCTTGCATCTGCTGTCACATTTCTATAGCAAATTAGATTAGAAGAACGTTAGTGCTATGACTTATTCTCTGTTTAAAAATACAAGAATACAATGAAATATCTACAGACTACTGCTTTTCCGGTGCAGCTGCCAACTGGAAAAAAAAATAGTGACAAGACAAATGGCAGCATTACTTCTTCTACCACTACTAAATAGTTAAAGTTCTGTTAAACATCACAGTAGGTTTTACACTAACAGTTTCTTATTTCCTGTATTACTGCCAAAACAATTTCCTACTCAAGTTTAGGGAAGTGGAAATAGACATAGTAATACAAAAACAGAGGAGAATGATAGTGCTTAAGCTGAACTGATGCTTTGCCCTTTCTTTTATATAAATCCTGGATTCCTTTAAAATATAAGATTTCAGATTTAACATACACGATCATAAGAGGTTTTGTAGTTATTGCACAGAAATTTACCATTATCTACAGTCTGAGCAATTGCACACAACTTGCCAATAAACAAGTTCCTTCTTGGTTATACATTCAAAAGTGAACAAATAACTTGGGAAATTGCTGTTTTCTCTTTTGTGTTAAGTTCATTAAGTAACAATACCAGAGTCACTTAATACAAAACCAGACTTGATTGCCCTCAGCCTTCTTAATACCTCCATATCTGCAGAATGTCCTCAGGCTTAAATAGCATTTTAGGAAGAGGAACATGCTGATGCCTGGAGCATCAATCAGCAGCAGACGTAGCAGAAGAGAAAGTGAGTTGATAGAAGAGCATGGAAGAAAAATAGGAAACCAAAGTATCTCGTGAGGAAGAACAGAATAGTCAGGGATATCCAAGCAGAGAAATAAATGAAGAAACCTCTAGAAAGACTTTGTCCAGGGCCTTCTCGTATCTGGCATCAACAGTCTATGGCTTTCTTCATTGGTTTCTAATCTAATTATGTCTATAACCTTATTACATAAACTTTGGTTTATTTCACATGCTATTCATAAAATTTTTGAACATTTCTGTCGATCAGCCAGTCAAATCCCGCAATGAGAATCAGTCTTCTTAGACTTAGTATTGCTGTTGCCATCTTTAAATTTATTTAAAATTGGTTTAATTTGTTTATATTATTTTAATATGCTATATTTTGTTGTTTTATTTACTTTTCATTATTGCAATTATTACAATTTATTAATTTTCTATTTTGGTATTTCTACAATTTTCACGAGTAATTGTTAACTAGTAAATTGTATTTATATTTATCATGATTTTTTAAAGTTCTTTATGGATGTTTTATATTGATGCAGTATCAAAGGAAGTAAAAGAAAAAGTAAATTCAGTTGTCTAAAAAAGACATTTCTTTAAATTCTGTCTCATTCAAATATGAATGCACTGTCTTTAAATACTTTTTGTATTTTGATCCAAAAATGAAATTTTCTTCTAATACAAAAGTATATTCCTTATACACCATTCAAATTCCAGGTTATATTAACATAATTATGTTAATTTCTTAGGAAAAAATAGGCAAATCAGAATGTCTGGAATGCAGCCTTATTATATGTTCTCTGATTAACTTCAAAAGAGAACTAAGCTACATGGGCTATCACTGTTGGTCTTCTAGGTTCATTTAACATATCTTTTTTTTAATAAACATCCCAGTGGAATTATGGACATTAAAACATTGCTGACAGGTAGAGTTGTAATAGCAGAAAAACTGCTGCATATGTGACTGCACAGTACAGAATATGATCATACTTATGATAGCAGAGAAGGCATATTTATATTGCAACTACATTTAACCATGTGTTTCAAAAGCTTCTGATACATGAACTGGTGATTACTTTGACAAGGGAGAGATTTGCTGAATACTTGAATTACAAAGGTGCCAAATTTTAGAGAAACTTGGCTGAGGTATCCAAAGCACAATCTGTTCAAGTTTTGTGAAATCAGCTACTTGTTGATTTACTGAATAGAATACTGATAAGGCACTTGTAGCTGCAAAACTGATTGTCTGTTCTCCTAACCTATGACATAATCAGAACTGTTGATTCTACTTAGAAATAAGAATTAGAACTTGATTTCTAAATAGAATAATTATAGTTTTTTTTCCTGTTTCAATGGCCTCAATAGAAACTTAGCTAGACTGAGTGGGCCACTGATTTGAATTAGTATTCTACTTTCATATTTTTTATCTTTAAAATCACAGGCGAGCAGTTCAGGAACTATTTATTTATTTATGTATTTATGTATGTATTTATTTTTGTATGATGTAATTATGGAAGAAGATAATAGAAAAATGAGAATGGAGACATTGCAATCAATCACCGATTTGTGCATCTCCTTCAGAAGACTGAGGAGGTAATGCCTGATGTGATTTCTTAGCACATAATATTTCCTTGGCTTATTACTCAAGAGTCCATCCAGCAGTTTCAAACCATTATTCAGTTTATACTTCTTTGTTTTTGTTTTTTTGAAACAATTGCAATCATTGGCTTGTTGAAAATGTCATAATATTCCAGATTTTTAAAAAAAGTAACTACAAGGATATTTTTCTAAATAAAGTTGAAAAAACAAAATATTTCAAATATAGTACCACATTTGTTATTTCCAGAATGCTGCCAAGATAGGAAAAGATAAATACTCCCTGGAATCAGGTTTGGTTTATGATAGTGATATAGAAGTGGTTAGTTACTGTAGCTATGGCCTTCTTCTGGAATGTATCTCAAGGGGGGAAACCAGTACTTGGGCTAGTATATATATACCCCTGTCTACATCGTGAGCATAGAATTAAAATATTCAAGATAAATTGTCAACTTTCTCTACAGGCAGTACTTCAGAGCAGTCTGTCCATACTTCTTTATTATATTTAACCCACAATCCATGGATGGATGATACTCCTTTAATTATTTTACCTATAAATTAACCAGCTAAATTACATTTTTAATGTTGACCATTTTAATCAATAGGTTCACTGCAAAGAATTATGATAGACTTCACTGTTGCATTATTGTTACTACAGTATGTGACATTCATAACTGATGTTACCTACATCCGTTAGGTGAAGAGCAGCCCTTACAAGTGTCAAGGGGGCTTTCAATAAATTTATAATAAGCCCACCTAATCAATGCTGGGTATCCTAATCTTAAAAACTAGAAAATTCTTAAGAAAAAAAAACCCAAATCATTTTCTCAAAAAAATGAAAATTAAACCTCGGAAATTTGTGGGAAAATACTGAACAGATTTAAAAAAAAAAAACACAGGTGAAAAACAAATGATTACTAAACTCTACCCACCTTTAACTGCAGCCCTTGTGAAGGAAAAGTGCTAGTAGGGAGTTCTTTAATATGTTGGTAGACGTAAGAAGCACATTGTTCCTGCTCAGCCTGTAACTGGGGGGCAAGTTTAGAAAGATGACCTTTGTAGCTCCTGATGACTGCCTGCAATTCATCTATCAAGTTGTGCACCTGAAGGGTTAAATTATGAGAGCTGTTAGCAAGAGACAATTATTGATGTCACACCTATTAGAATTCTCATTACAAATCTGATTGAGATGTAATTTTAGTCTGACAGAAAGTAAAGAATTTATGTCTATCTCCTCCAAATATCTACGCATTATAGAACAAAAGCCTTGGTAAAAATGAGGCAATGAAAGAAATAAAATATATGATTCTTAGTTATTTTAGATATTTTAATATTACCTGCAATCCTTTTAAGTGTTTAGTTAATTTCCTAAGTAAATCTTTTCAATTGCTAATTAAAACACACTAAGGGCAACAATTTGCTATTTCTACACTTCCCAACAAAGCACTTAAAGGAAGATAAACAATAGTTTTTATGAGGATGGTAAACTGTATGCCAGAGTTCCTTCTGAGGGAGATGGGTGATTAAAAAATGTGAAAAATAAATAAATTCATACTCACTATGATTCCAAGAATTCAAAGCAAAACGCATAGTTCTCTGTTCTCTCCATTTTCCTCAGAACAAAGTTCATGTGAGGTAATGTTAATCAGTAAAGTTATCCATGCCCTACTTCACCATCTCTATTACCTAAATCACTGACTATTTCTCCAAGTAGTAGAACAAGCATGTTGCTGTGCAAGATTCCAAATTCAGTCCCTGATCATTCTAGCTTTCTTAGCTCAGAGCACAACCATTGGCATTTGTGAGTTCTGATAAACTAAGAGGAGAAAAGGCAGTTGATTGCTCAGCTTCACAAAGCTTTGAATGTAATGGAAATTGGCAACAGTGCTACACAGAATGACCCTAAAATCTACCTTTGTGTTAGAGGACAGAAAAATAGTTGAGGAAATTAATATCTTTTTTGGATAGTAAGGAATGTGGGACAGAGGATATGAGGCCTTCCTTCTAATCTGTCTTACCTTGGAGAATCTAGTCTACACAGAGCCTTAAAGGCAAGTTTGCTTCATTTTTACACAATCAGATAATAAACTCTTTCCCCCATTCCTATCACCCTAGCCCTTAAAGTTATTGTAGAAAACAATAAGTAAGTGACATAGAAAGGAGAAGAAACAACATATATAAAATGTATATGGAGATTCTCAGTCATCCAGGTTATGGTTGTCCCAAAGGTGCTTTTTCAAAGAGCAACTGGACTTCGTTTTATATATATTTATTTATACATACACACACAAACAGACACACAGACACATGCACACAAACACACACACACACACACACACACACACACACACATATAATCTTGATTTTTTTCTTTGATATGCTACTGTACCTTCCACTGATGTCATAATATTGATTTTCCCAATAAAAGATATGATAGTCTCAATTCAATGCAGCTATGGTGGAATTGGGTTGTATCACTGCACAAATATTAGTACATTCCATTCAATTTAAGACTAAGATAAAAATGATTTTTTAAAGAATCTTTTTTAAAAAAACCAATTAACAGATGAAGTTTTTATATATTGATTGATTTGTTTAAGTGTGTCTTCATACATGTCTATGTCTTATAATACAAATATTTTGAGCAATTAATAAGGATACAGTACTTTTAATATGCCACTGTCTCAGAGTCTACTAATGTAGTAACATTAATGCAGTAAAAATTCAGCACTGAACATCTGTTATTAAGACATGGGAAATTAAGGACATTATTAAGAACTTTAAACATGAAATATCAATCAATTTATAAAAAAACAAGAAAACAAAACATTAGTAATATTGAATGATTGAACTGTAAACATCCTTGACTTTTTTTACTTAACTATATTCAAAAGCTTCTGTCTAGCCATTTGAAAGATAGTTACTCTCAAAATTGTTACTCTCCACTTTGTTCAGGAATAATAACCACTTTTACTAATGTGAACAATCTACTCAAATAGTTTTGTTGATCATGCTGTTGAATAATTTTGTTTAAGTTTAAATCAGTTACATGGTAATTATACAGAGAGAGAGAGAAAGAGAGAGAGAGACAGAGAGAGAGAGACAGAGAGAAACAACCCTACATATCAAATATATACATAAAATTGTAAGCCAAGAGTCACCTTATAGAAGAGATGGGTGGCGTAAAAATAAATAAATAAATATAGTTCACTATCAAACTGATTCCACTCCCACCCCAAAAATGCAGACATTACAATATATAAAGTATTTGTTTACATTACATGGCATATTCCTTTCCTGCCACGAAGCACCACTGCCTTCCTGTTTACATCTATCAAGCAAAACAAATTAATCCCCTCCCAAAAGGTATTTGGAATAGGAATCATAATTAGACATAGAAAAACATTTTGCAGATTACAATTAATTGTAATTTTTTATAGCGTAGCCATTGAACTGCATGGATGTTATTTTCCTTTCCTCCTCCTCCTCATATTCCTTTGCATATGATGCTGCCTAACTTTCAAGGAAGACTGCAATGGGTAAGGAAATTGCTTTTTCCACTTCAAGTGGCCAATAAAGTACGTACTAGTCTACCATTTCATTTTCTTTTAAATATGTATTTTATTCTCCATTTTGTGAACCATATGGAAAGCATTGTATTGATGGCAGTTAGATAAACATGGCAGAAAACAGATACATTGTACATAGTTCACCCTGGTTTCCAGCACTGAGGGTAAACAGCAAAGTTAGGCAGACAGATGCAAAAATGTTTATGTTGTAAGATGGTAATATTAGCACTAAATGAGATGGCTCATTTAGTCCTTCTTTCTTGTAAGTTATACCGCATATCAACATGATGTCTTTTAAACTAAAATATTGCTAAGTATTGATTTTCCTGTATTTCGATATGCTGCAAAGAAATAAATAAGCAACAAGTCCTCAAAACGTCCACATTATGATTTTTTTCTTGCCCCGTAATAAAACTCATCCTTCTCATTCAACTACACTTTTGAAGACAAAACTTGACCTTTTCTGACCCCTGTATTTAAAGGTCTGTTCATAATTCAGTCTTCAATCTGTGTGTAGAGAAGCATCCATGTGGAAACATGGAAGCCTGTGAGATATGTAGCTTTTCCCTTTACACGTTATCTGACCCTATGAATCCTTTTCACAAAAGAAGTATTTACGTATGCATAATTTGATGGGGGGAGGAGGCCCAGTTTCACTGTGCTTCAGAAAAAAAAACACACACACATTTTACTCCTCTTTCTCCAGGAAAACTCATCATGAATTTGAGTGGATGTATTGCAAGTAGTAGGATGAAAAGAAAGGTAGTTGCTAAGAAGACCACCTATCTTTTTTTCACTTGGTTGGATTAATTTTTTTTTCTTTTATGCAAATATATAGTTTTCTGGCTTTTAGTGCTGATGGCCATGTAGAAGTGATGATTATTACTCTATCTGAGATAAGATGCTTCCATTAGAATAGCAGAGGATCAGGCAGAAAAAGTTTATGTACTACAGAAGCATTAGGTTCTAAGGAAGGAAATAAGAGGGTTATTAAGCCTACTTTGCGTGAATAAAGTTCTTTGTCCTTCCAGTATAAATCTTTTCTCATGTAATACAATATAAGAAAGTATGATCCTGACCTATTTTTATCAAAATATACAATAACTATATTGCACATAGTCTAGATTTGCTTGGACATTTGAAGCAGCTTACAAATTGAACAAATGCATTAAAAATAAAATTGGTAAAATTAGCAAGCCATAAATGACACGATTCAAACAATGCCTTAAGACAAACCATCATTTAAAAGCACAACAGATGTGATCATCCATCCCATTAGGTTAAAACTAACAACTCACATTACTGAGAGATGTATAAATTTTAAGAGCAGATGAAATAACTGTGCCAAACAACATTTCATTCAGCTCATCTCCCCATGAGTTTGGGGGTTAGGCTTTTACTAGCAGGTGAATGTAAGAACTGATTGTGGGCAACTACCACTATGGCTCAGTGGGAAAATGAGAAATTCCAGGGCTGCAGCTTCCTTGTGCCTGGGCCTAAAAGTTTTGTTTCTTTCTTTATTAATCAAATGTACGGTATCTGTTATTTGTTTACTAATCTACTACTTTGTTTACTAAACTACTACTTTATTTATCAATCAAATTTATATGCTCTGCCCAGCTCATCCAAGGCAATTTTGGGCAGAACACAACAAGATTCTGGGCTAACAACACTTTGCATAAGAGTCTCTGGCCTTTCCGTCTTTCTCTCTGGGACTTTCATGGAGAAAAGTGGCAGAGCTTTGGAAGGCTTTTTGTAGATCTGTCACAGATCTACTAATCATTGGAATAGATCATTTAATCAGGTCTGTATCCATTTAATGGTACCATTGTCTAGCTTGCCTTCTCTAGTAGCATCTCGTAGATGATTTTGTTGAATGTTTTGTTGACGTCCAGTGCAGTCTTATGATACAACTGAACTGATCAGTGCGTCAACAAAGATCAATCTGTCTGGCAGGACTTGTTCTTGAAGAATACATGATAGCTCCTGCAAAGCAATGCCCTCTTTTCCAAATTCTCCCAAATTACTTAATAATACGTTTCAACATTGTGCAAGTTCCAGTATTAAGGTAACCAGTCTATAGTTGCCCAGGTCTTCTTTTTGTTCCTTTTAAAGGGAAGAATATTAGCTTTTCTTCAATCCTATGGCATCATGCTCATCCTCCAAGATGTTTTCAAAGGTCCTAGGGGTTTTAAGATGAATACATGAACTTTTTCAAGACTTGGATATAATTAATCTGGTCAGTCATTCAAATGGCTGAGTATTCCCCTAAACATATGTTTTTGCTTATCTTGGGTTATCAGTCTCATCTTGTGTCATTGTTTCTCCTTAAATCCATTTGAATAGTTTCCCTTTAGGGAGAAAACCAAAGCAAAGTCACTTAGAATCTTTCTGTCCTCTGCTTTAGCTTTTCTGACTTTCTTTTTGCAGATATTAGCTTTTATCTGTAATTCAATAATTGCAGGTATGCCTTCTGCATGATTATACCTCCTTTCCATTTTCTGTAGAGGTCCCTTTTAATTCTTCACTCAGTT